TTTTTTTTTTTTTTTACTTAACCTACATTTATTGCTTAACCTAGTGATATACAACAAAAATATACATTCTTAATATCTTTGTAGTTGCTGTATCCATGGATATATAAGATGATGACCAAAATGTATCATTATACCTTCTAAATACCTAAAGAAAATGGTTGTGATAGTATAAATGTCATTTATTTACAGAAAAAGCAAATATGTAACTGGATGATTAACCCAAACAAAACTAACTTTGCTAACAGGTGTCAAAATACATCTTGCACATTGCCTTACTTATCAAGTTTTATTCAAGCAATTGCTATTGAGTGAAGAAATTTTCTAAATACTAGATCATTGAGTGCATGACATTGAAATGTACTTCAACCTCCTGCTTTTTCTTCTCTCGTCACTTGCTGTGGAAGAGATAACAGGTCAGGATCCAACAGAAGTCCCATGATTCTTAGCAAGGTTGTGGGTTCAAATCGCAAGTCTGCCAGAAAGCCACTGTAGAGCCGTTGATTTGAGTGCAGTCATAAAACTATGCACAACAGCAGTCCTGAATGGATCTTAACTGTTTGACAATATTTGGAAGTGTCCATGATGTATAACTGACTATCCTCACATACCTACTGTAGACTAGCTTTATCATGCCACGGTCGAATGCATTTTCTCTCCCTCTTTGTGTGTAGACTACTATTTGTTTCAAATGGAAATGCCGTGCCTCCTTTTTTTTGGAACATTTTCCGGAACATCAGCTTGGTATACGGCTTCAAAGGAGCCTCTTTCATGGCAGGTGTTTTTGGATTAAGGCCACTGCCGGATCGTTGTTTTTTTTTCTCTCCTTCACCTTTGAAGTGTCATCATCTCTTTCACCTGCCTTCTTTTCCGTTGTAACTCTTCCCGGATCAAATTCTCAGCTCTGGCAGAGCACCGAAATAAACATTCTATTTTAAACCACAAGTGAGATATGTGGGAAAGGAAGTGTAATGCTAACACGTGTACAGCTCAAAGTAAGGTGGGAACAACTGAAGTGCCATAGCATGGATGATAATCTACTTAATGGGCTTGGTTTACTAATACGTTTGTTTTTATTATAAAGCATGTTTCAAGAGAGATGATAATTAGATCATGTACTTGAAATGGTCATTGACCATGATGCTTAAATATCATATGTAAAAAAAAAATGACCATGTGTTACAGGCTCTGTTATTTTTGGATGTGATCTCAACTAGATGTGAGGTTGGTCTGGTTTTTAAATCCCACTCCCACCCACTCCCACAGACACTCTTGACCAATCTTCAGCAGATAATCTTGACCAGTTCCGCCTGGTCCCACAGAGACTCTTGACGAAACCCGTCTTGCTCCTGCAGACATTCTTGACTAATCTCATCAACCCTGCCAGCTCCTGCAGACACTCTTGAACAATCCCAACCATCCTGCATTTTACTGATCCCTTCAGCTCCCACATTCACTCTTGACCAATCCTGCCAGGCCTGCAGAAGGTTTTACCAATCTTGCCAGCTCCCAGCAACACTATAGACCAATTCCATTGATTCCCACAGACACCTTTGACCAATTACATCCACTTCCACAGACACTCTTGACTAATCCTGCCTGCTCCTGCAGGCACCCTTGGCTTCTCCCCCTTGGTCTCCCAGACACTCTTGACCAGTTCCACCAACTCCTGCAGATACACTTGAGCAACTTTGCCAGCTTCTGCAGACACTCTTCACCAATCTTGCCTGCTCCCACAGAAAATTTGACCAATCCTGTTAGCTCCCATGACTTTTTTGTTAGGTTCTACAGGGAATCCCAGTGCCAATATACACCTATAGACCTAGACTTGCCATTGCAAACAACAGTAAAGGTCTAGCGAAAGATTTCAAGGGCCCTAAGTAAACACAAGGCAACCCAGGATGACCCAATGGAACAAAATTGTCTGGGGACTGGGGTACAGTTCATTAACCTGTCACAGGGCCCAAAATTCCTACCAGAGTCATAAAGTGTCTCTGAGACAGGAACCAGTTAGACTATAGTGTGGGGTTTTGGCCACAGATCTGTAGATGGAAAACAGCAATAGGAAGAGTTAGCTGTCTCAGATTGTCAGCACTAGTAAGTGCGTTGTCACTTGTTATTGCACTGTGGGACCAAGAAGACCTTGTCAGGATGAATGTGGGTTGTGTGAGGACCCCTGGCTAGTCACAGCAGTTAGCACAAGGCATGGTGACTATGGGGCGTAAGGCTGTTTGGACCATTAAGAGGAAGTCACTGAGGTCATTGAGACACCTCTCCCCAAGGCCAGCTGATAAAATGTATATGTGTAGAGGAGTGAGTTGAGGTGCTTTTGAGACTTTTGACACTTTTTAGTTGTCTCTGGTGAGTGGTGTGGTGTGATGAGGCACTTTTTGCTCTGACTTGAGCAGAGCTATAAAAGAATGTTGATTATTCTGTCATTTTAAAATAATGTCAGGCTAAAAATGTGGTTGTTAATTTTAATCGTATGACATACTCGTTGCCTAAACAAGGCAGTTAGTGATAGATGAATGTTATACAGTTTCCCTCACAGTATGGGCTTGTCACGATAATAAACAGTAATTAGTCAACTCTGGTACATGCTAACTTCTCTTCCTGTTCCTGGGCCCATAGACAGTCAATAATATATCAGGATGTTTCACAGCATCTGCTTTTATTCATCTTAGACTATAACACAGAGGTCTGTTTCTTTTTGGGCTTACTAAACAGCCTTAGCCTTATCCAAACACACACACAGACCAAGACATACAACACCCAAACACTTCTCATAATACTTTCATTTTCTTATCCTGGGTCCAAGTTTGGCTTGGATTGTTGGCACAGCTTAATTACTACAACTCAATCTGACATGAGAGAGATACTTAAAACTGGTTTTCTCAGGGTTCTATATTACACCCAGTTTACTTACGTCCTCAACCATATTGTTCCACGTGTAAATTTTAAAGAGTGAAGTTTTATTCTGTTTTAAGCATTTGTACCTCTATGGTAACTATACTGTGTTGGATATTTAATGTAGTGTTTGACACCAGGCAGCAGAGAGCTTTTGATTCTTACAGTTTTTTTATCTATGAATATTCTATGGTCTTGGCTGGTCTCAAGAATAAATTTTGAGTTGCTAATGCTCAAGAACAAGTGAAGAACGAGTGAAAATATCACCCGAGCACATGACAAGATCAAGACCATTAACGTGTCTTGAGACCAGTCTTAAGGACAATAGCACTATCCATTATAATTGGAAATACCCATTTACTAGTTTAGCCACCACCAAAATACAAAATTAATAAATCTTTGTGTAATGACCTAGGACCTGCATTAGATGATTACTGGCCACCAAACCATATTTTTGCATTTGTTATGCACTGTGTTTGGGCTAGATTAACATGGTTTCTTAACCAAATCCTTCAAATGACACTGTGTATACACACATGTGTTTTTCAGCTGTCAAAAATTTTACTAATTAGATTTACTTATTTGAAAAATTGATAGATCTCTTGTAAAAGAAAGGTGGGGTTCTATGCAGGTTTGGAACAAACATCACTATGGTAGCCATCGATAAGTACTGGGACTGTAGAGAGATATCAGAAAAACTCAGCTAAAGTTTTTGTACCACTAGCTGAAGCTAAAATCATAACCCCCGATGCCAGATGTAAAAGGTAGTTTATAAGAAAGGAAGGAGCCGCTGATATTATGGAAAACAAAACTGGACATCATTTTGAACATTCAAGCTTGCAACTTTTTTGCAATAATTACTTGGCTCTCTTTAGTTTGGATGTAGTGCGGCTTAGTGGTTAGCACGTTGGCCTCGCACCTCTAGGGTTGGGGGTTCAATTCCTGCCTACGCCTTGTGTGTGTGTGGGGGGGGTTTGTCTGTTCTCCCTGTGCTTTGGGGGTTTCCTCCGGGTACACCAGTTTTCTCCCCCAGTTCAGAGACATTGTCATCTCTATATTGTCGTAGTGAGTGAATGGGTGTATGAGTGTGTGTGCAATTGTGCCCTGTGGGCACTCCATCCAGGGTGCCCCGCGTCCCCGCGACCCTGTGTAGGATAAGTGGTACAGAAAATGGATAGATGAGTGTAGTGCTTGAGCCAATGTCAGGTGAAACCATCAAGCATTAGATGAGGACTGTCAGGCCATATTAATATTTCAGTCATAACCACAAAGTAAAATAAGAGCAGCACAAACCAATGTGAATTTTCTGAAGGCCCTTAAAACAGCTTCTGACTGTTGCTAGCTGAGAGGCCATGTGACTCAGAAAGTCTGGGCTTAGCTCCTGTGACCCTCAATTTAGAACGTGTATGGTTGGATGAGTGAGCTTTCAATTAGAGCTTCCTCAGATAGTCTTTTATATGAGCAAGCAGAAAACAGCAGATGACATGGGTAGATGACGACTCTGCGGCCTTTTTTGGAGTTTGAATTTGGTTTCAATTAGAAAAGAGAAATAGCTTTTTAGTTAAAGAATGGACCTCGGCTGGTAGATGTTTATTCATACAGTAATTGCCTGCATATATCACTTCTCTGTGACTTTGGTAGGTCAGAGCCTATAAGTCATAAACAGTGCATTCTTGCAATGTACTGGAATAAAATTGAGAAGACTTTAATGCTGGATACTTATTACTCTGGGCTATTTTGGATATTTAATATTTAATTAATACTCTAGTTGTGCCATTGGAAATAGGTTACTTAATGTTTTCATCTTGTTTATTGGTTAATGCAACAGGAAGAGAAGCTACACTGGGAAAGTATGGTGTACAAAATATTCAGTATGAATGGAAAAGATATTAATCTGCAAAGAGTAACTACTGTTGTGAAAACCTTTAATGATTTTCTCCAGCTTGATCATGATTCAGAATTCATGCCTGAAATTTCACTTGATGACTCATTGAGGTGCAGTACGTGGGGTATCAGATTAGCGATGGAAAAACGTAGATGCCATCTGTAACTTTTCCCAAATAAAACAAAAAAACAAATACATACTTTAAAAGAGTTCATAACAAAAAATTATGGTTAACTTCAGCTCATTGCTGAATGACATGGTTGACAAAGTGAAGTAACCTAATGCAAGTCGAAGACTCACTGAGCCACTAAAGAGGAGTTAGTATAACAAATAGGTTTTTTTTTGTTTTGTTTTGTTTTTTTAATTTAGTGCTCTATTAACTAAAAAGGTGGGTCTTTTATCTTTGTTTGAAGACAGCCAGGGGAAGTTAATTCCACCACCTGGGTGCCAGTAAAAAGAACAAGTCTTCCTTGTAACTTAAGGGAAGGTCGGTCGGGAAGGTGGGTCGAGTCATGCTAAAGGCTTGAAGAGTATGTTGTGCAGTGTTGGGTTTGATTAGTGCCTTCAGGTAGGTGGGGTGTGTTTTTGGCTTTGTAGGCAAGGATCAGTATTTTAAATCTGATGTTGGCAGCTATAGGAAGCCAGTGGAGGAATCGCAGAGTGGGAGAACTTGAGGAGATAGAAAGAGTTACAAGGGTTGGATGGAATACAGTGGAAGGCCTGCCAGGATACAGTGGTGCAATCTTGAGATGACCAAGTACTGAACAAGCACCTGAGTAGCCTCCATGGAGAGAATTGACTGGATGATCCTAATGGTGTAAATGAGAAACCTGTATAACCTGAGAAGTGAAGGATAATTAGTTGTCCAGAATTACACAAAGGTTGCGTGTGTTGCCAGATGGTGTGATTTGAGAGTTCTCCAGGGAGATTATAAGATCTTGACTTAAGCATGCATTTCCAGGGGTAGCTTGATGGGATTCATTGTCAGGTGATGAGCTGCTAACCATGGCGAGACTACCTCCTTAATCCTGAGAAATCCTTCATCCAGCCCATTTTACCAAGCTCTTTCACACTGATGAGGATTTAGTCATGTTTACTGGTTCAGGCAGAACAGGAGTATGCTTCTGTAGATAGCACTGAGAGATAGCACTGTAGATAGCACAAGATAACACTGGGTGCTTCCCAATACTCAACTCATGCCTCCTTGACTTCTTGATCCTACTTCCTTCAGCCCAACTGATGCTTCCTTGACTTCTTGATCCTATGTCCTTAAGCCCAACTGATGCCTCCTTGACTTCTTGATCTTACTTCCTTCAGCCCACATGATACCTTCTTTGCTTCTTGATCCTACTTCCTACAGCCCAACTGATACCTTCTACGCTTCTTGATCCTATGTCCCTCAGCCTGTGATTCCAAAATTGATCCAAACCCACCATGTTTTAGGGTATATTAATGCATTAATAAGGATCAGTTTAAGGAGAAAGAAGAGAGGAGGCTTTCACCATGAGGATACACAACTGGTCCTACTTCTATAACTTTTTTTTTAATTGTAGCATGATTCTGATGCTGAGCATGCTGTATTTGTGTTTGTGTCTATATATGTGTATATGTATTATTTGAACCATGCTATGGTGATGTTGCCATGTGGATGTCAGATTAGATTGTGTCTTTGTGTTTGTGTATATTGTTTAGGCCATGCTTTGTTTAGGTGCTGCTTCAGATTTCTACCTTCACCAACTCTGGCTCCCTCCTGATTGGCTGACCTTGACTGGGCCATTCAGAAATGCGTGATGCAGCAGAAATATACCCTCTCCATCTCCCTAACAATACACACACTCACAGTGCTGGAGAGATACACTTAATCCTTCCTGATTCCAGTATTGACACTGATAAAGGCAGCTGAGTTATGGTAAATAAAGAAAGGATAGAAAAAAGTGGCATATATACGCATACACATTCATTATCTCATATTACGAGAGCAGGGTTTAAAAGAAACGTTTCTGTCCTTTCCCCTGTCAATAAATGGACGATTAAATCAATAAAACACTATTGATTAGTTCATGGTAATGGCTTTTATTTGATCCTGATCTATTCTCTATGGTATAGAGCTCAAAGTCAGTTAAAGAAGGGGCACATTTGCATTTGCCCCCCGATACATTGTTTCTTGTGAGGTTTATAAATAGACTTTAGGGATCTGTGTCCATTTCAAAACCTGTGTTCTTATTATATACAATCACTTTCCTCTTTCAGGGTGCTATACTTCTAAAGTGTGTGTGTGTGTGTGTGTGTGTGTGATAGTACTAATGTATGATATTATATCCCATTATATATCTCTGTAAAAGTTGCATTATACCACAGCTTTTCTACAGAATGTCTGTCATAGTGTATCCACAGTTTAAATATTTTGATAGGGCAAGTGGATGATCATCTCATTTTATAGTCTTGGGTCTATACTGTGATGCATTAATTTAGCATTTAGCCCGGTCATGTGCCAAAATTGAAGCTTTCATCTCAGTTTATGATATTGTCAGGGCTTGATTTGAGATGTGGTGCCAGATGATGTTAAAAAAATATTAAATTATTAAATACTTAATCCATTTGTAAAACTGCCACCATCATTTGCCATTAGCTTTGGAATGACACTTCCTATTATATCAATTAAGATGTTCATTTTTGTGCGTTCTTTGCACACTTGACAAAGGGTTGTTTCTCTTTTTCCATCACTGTATTTCTGACCGATGACGGGCTCAGCTTTTAGTTTAATTATTTATGAAGCCAACCCAAACGAACTAGCAAACGAAGAAAAAATTCAATTTTGCTCTGATTTGGACACATCAAACAGAATAATAGGTGTGAAAAAGCAAGAATGAAAAACCCATAGCTATGAATCTTAGGAATGGTCTAATTGTTGATTGATTAACCTATTACATTAGGCTTGCTAGCTACTGGTTTAAGTAAGGTTTCCAAGTGTAGATTTATGCCATTTGCCAGATGGATGGGTCCCTTGTTGTCCATATCCATCAGTCCCCACTTTTACAATTCATCCGCTGCATGTTATTACCATATTGTATCATAGTGACAGCTCTGTCTGACACAATGCTCAAAAAAAAAAGGGTACATGCAACGTCCTGCCTACCTAGGCAACCTACTCATAAATAAAACATGGATGAATGATGGAATTTTAAAGTGTTCAGAATAACAGGATTGGTTTTTATTAAATATTGGAATATATTGTGCCTAATTTAGATGTATACATGAGCTAATTGGAAGATAATCTAAGACAGTGACCATCAACCTTTCTATAAGATGTAGAGCTCCAGGAACAGGTTTGGTGATCACTGGTGTAAGTGTATCTGGGTTCAAGGGAAGACAGAAGAAAGCCTTGTTTCACATTTCCTCTTCCTCTAAAATCCATTGCACGTGTGTGTATACGTGACTGGGACGTAGCTGTATAATTCTTTTGCTGCACTATAGTGTGGTGTTAGACTACAGGACATCGACAATGCAATAGACAGAGAGAGAATAAGAAAAAGAGAGAAAAAACAAACCCTAGTGTTGCCATTTTTCAAGCTCACTGCGCACAATGTGCTGGTGCCATGGCAACAGCAGAACCAATCCATTCCACCCCCAAACAATTCCCATCATCTATGCAATCACATTGAGTGACCATATCAGTCTAAAGACCATCATTCATTTGGTGACACTGAACACAGTGCATGTCCACCAGCTTACAGTCATGTGCATTCAGATAAATATCATATACATGTGACTAGCTATGGGCACCAGCTAAGGTTTTCTGTCTCTAAGGATGCTGAATATCCCAAGGGGATTTCCAAAGCACCACTGGAAGAGCAGAAAATCCTGTGCTCCTATCACCATGGAAACACCATGTCAGATTGGGTGCGAGGCCACCATGCATGTGATGGTAGCAGCCAACACTGGCATATCTGTATTTAATTTAATGTTTTTTCAACCTGTACGGATGTAGTTCCTTTAGTGTGTTTATGCACTATGGCTGATATTTGCTTTTTAGAAATCCAGCAGTTTCAGGCTGTGTCAAATGTAATTC